AAGCTCCCTTCTTGACCTGATCCCTGCTTCCTCCACCTTCGGCAGTGAGTTCCTTCTGTCCTGAACCCTTTTGACTCCTTACAGGTTCCATGATTTCTCTCACTCTGGACCATTGCACAAACTTTCATTTGTGTGGGAAAAACCTTTTGCCACCTTTTTGCCTGGCTAACTTCCCTTCATCCTTGAGGCCTCAGCTTTGGTGTCACTTTCCTTAGGAGACTTTTTTTCTGACGAGCTTTGATAGGGGTGCATTGAGTGCGGGGTTCCATCTGTGTGTACTCATGATTCTGTGCCTCTCTCTTATTGTAATACTCATCTTTCTGGCTGTTTGTTTTTTGTTTCTCGCACTACTATAAGCTCCTTTGGAGGAGTGAGGCCATGTCATTTTTTTAACCACTATATTCCTAGCATTTATTTAGGATGTTTGTTAAAATATTTGTGAAATAAATTGATATAGATTCTGGGGATATAAGACATGAAGCCCTGTTCTTAAGAAATTTACGTCTAGTCGGGGTTCATGGGGAAGAGTGTGAAACAATATGGGTTTCTTCAGGTCAGAGAATGTATCTTGTTCATCTTTGTATTTCTGTGCCAAGTATGGTGCTTTATACATAATGGAGTTGGTAAAATTAAGGTAGTATGAGAAAGTGGAATTTGGAAACATGGGATATGAAATAATCACATTCTAAATAAAAAAAATTATACATGCAAACTTTGTGTGCTACTTTCCACACAAGTATATCTTGCTTCTGTGTACTCTTCCTTCATGAATGCCATATAGCAAAACTAGAACTATTTCTATCCACTTGACTTTGCCAAACCCTGGACTTTTGGAAGGAAATCTTACCCCCCGCATTCTTGGTCTGATCATCTGGGTTTATAGTCATTTGCTGCTTTGTAGGTTTTTAGTGGCCTGTTTCATACTCTAGATGGTAAGCAACAGGGCCACATTTTCTATTTTTAACTGTCTATTTTAACTGTGGCAAAAAGTTTGTGTGTCTAGAAGATAATTATCTTGTTCCCTGATGGTCAGATGCAGCTTAGTCTAGAGCTTGAGAGAATGCATCCTGCTATGTGCTTCCGTGGGTCCCGGTGCTTGGAACACAGCCCCCTCCGTCATTGTGGTGTAGTGCTAATGATAGGCACTCAATAATTGTTGGATTCACTGGAGTTTAAAATGTTAAATATTTTAAAATGTAGATGTTAATACATTTTGAAGTAGAGAGAAATATTAACTATATAATACATAATTATATGGTGAAATAGTGAATAATTTCCAGAAAAGTTTGACATCCAAATTCCTTTCCTTATTGAAACATTATACAAGCCACTTTATGTTGACATAGCGAAGAATTTCCAGGATATAATTTAGTGAGAGCCATAATTCTTTTCCTTACAGAAATCTGTATAAAGACATTTTCTCAGTCTTGTGACATATACTTTTTAGCTGCAGTATGTCTGCATGTATCCTGATGCCATGGGTCCAGAACTGTGTTCTCAGATTCTTCAAAGTGTTCAGAGTCTGAGCACATATGCCATTGTGATGCACATCTTTGCCTGGTCCTCTTCTCACTTTGAGGTTGATGGAAGGGGATGACTGATCCCCTAGACGTTTAACATCTAGATAAACGTCTAGAGCAGATGTACCTTCTGAAATGGAGTGATTACTCAAGGCTTGCTTGCTTGGGTGTTTTTCCCCAGACATCTTGCTATTTTGGCCCATTTTTAAGCAAAAAAGCATCTCCTTTTTAGGATGGAAAAGCTTGAGACATGCAGGTTCGGGGCAGGAGCAGGGTATCACTGCTGCTTATGCTGCTGTCTGGTTGGATACAGCAGAGGCAAAGTAAAGGGCACTCTACATGAGTAACGAGCTAAAGGTAAATCCAAGAAATTTTAATTTTGGTAGTAATTTTCTAGCTCTTAGATATATATTTTTTTCATTAGCAGTGGTGTTGATGGTAGGGCATTGTGTCCTTTAGGTCAGTGGTTCCCAGCCTTTTTTGGTACCAGGAACCGGTGCTCCTATGAGAATTTAATGCCTGATGATGTGAAGTGGAGCTGAGGCAGTGATGCTAGTACTGCGGAGCAGCTGCAAATACAGATGAAGCTTCACTCGCTCACCTCCTGCTGTGAGGCCCAGTTCCTGACCCCGGGGTTTGGGGACTCCTGTTTTAGGAACATATTTTACTTGGTCTTGGTATCTCAGAGCATGGCAGCCTTTTCTACACTGACAGATTGAGAGATAACGTGTAAAAGAAGCTCTCTTAAGGAATCTACAGCAAGTGAGGCCAATTTCATATATTGAGACCAAAAGATAGGAATATGTGTTGGATTAAAACCAGGACAAGATTATAAAAGAGACATGTATCACTTTGACCTTGAAACATCTACCCAGTCTTCTCTCCTTATCTTTAGTATAGAGATGATTCAATGTCCTGATAATAGGTCCTGCCAAAGCTTAAAACCATTTCACAAATGAAGGAAATGCTCATTTTATACAATAACATAAAAATAAATAAGAATCAATGAATCAGAAAGAAACATCTTGGTGTGGCCTAGCAACTCTCCCTTCCCTGCCCAAGCTCTAATTTGATTTACTATTTCTAAGCAGCTTGCCTCAGCCCATTAAAGATGAAAGACAGGCCAAAGGGTGGGCAGGGCGGAATGAAAAGAAAAGGACCTTTGGAAGATGATCAGTCAAAAAAGCAGGCAAGCCAGTTTTTGGAGGTGTAGCCAGCCCTGCTCACCACAGTTACTTCTGAGATAATCTCTGAATGTCTGTAGTGAAAGTGGGCATTATGTTAACCTGGAGGCTTCAGGAACGCGAACAATGTTGCCTAAAGATTTCTATATGTGGCAAAACTTTTTAAAAGTTTTTTTTTTTTTTTTTAAACAGTATATATCTTTAGTTTCTCTTAGGTGGAGCTCTTTCTTGCTCCCTAAATTCAGGTGAAGGAGAATGATGTGAAACGTGTTAGTTTCTATAATACTATCACTTTGGGTCTTTGGTAACATAATTAAAGAACATGGTAGAGTGGGATTTATGAGCCCAAAAGGCAGCTATTAATGTGTAATAGGAGCATATGATTGGCTTCTCTCAATTTTTTTGCCCAGCTAGAATATCAATATCAAAGATGCATTCTGATCTAGATAGTGAGCGCACTTGTCTTTTAGTATAATGTGAGGTCTCAGGATTGTGCTGCATTAAGTGTTTTCAAGTTGTAGATTATCAAATATAACCTTGGGGCTCTCTCTTTGAGCAGAATTTAGTTGATACAGGGTTGTACAAAGCACTACTCACCCCAGAAATACATTCATCTTAATAAAAACATGCTGAGTTCATCACTCATCTTCTGAGTCATTATACACAGTGACCCATTTTTCTCTTTTATGTGGACCACCTCCCACCATTCTGATTGTGTGCTCTAATTCTACTTTCTCTGAAGAAGGGAAATTATTCCTTCATAATATTTTGATAAAACAGTCAAAGCTTGTGATAATACTAGAGGGTTTTTTCAATCATCTTAAAAAATTTTTTTGGTGATTTTTTATTTTAGGCAAGAAATCATAGGCAGGATTTTTTTTTAAACCTTCGTACTACTGACATTTTGGACCAGATAATTGTGGAGGACTGCCCTTTGCGTTGCAGGATGTTTAGCAGCATCCCTGGCTTTTATCTGCTAGATAGAAGTTGTGACAGAATGTCTCCAAACATTGCCAGATGTCCTCCAAGAGGCCAAATCACCCCTGGTTGATGACTGCTGATCCGATGAGACAGATGTGTGCAGCGGTAACACCTATAGCAGCTATATTGTCTGATAGGAAGAGGATATGTTTGGCAGAATGGTGGTTGGATTTGATTTTGCCTTGGTCTAGGTTGTCACCTCTTTTAATTCATTAAACCAACTCTTCTAATACTTTCATGTGCACAGACATCACTTGGGGACCTTGGTAAAATGAAGACTTGTATTCAGTAGGTCTGTAGTGGTGCATGACATTGATGCTGCTGGCCCAGTGACACTCTTTTGAGTAATAGGTTTTACTTCAGACCTTGTACACAGAGGATATTTAATAAATATTGGGTGAGGATGGTAAAAAAACTTGTTTTTTCTTTGCTGTAGTTGGGACTTCAGATAGAAAAATGTTACATTATAGGTAGCCTTGAAATT